TGTGTCCTGGTGTCTGGTGAAATCCATATCGCTTTGTGAATATCCATGTGTTTGTACACACTGCCTGACTCCAATTACCAAATCGTTGAATGCACGGAATTCGACAAGCTATTCTCCATTCTCGTTCATCACCTCACCGAGTGCTTCTCGACCCATGGTTAGTTCTCTTCCTGTGTTGTCCACTCCCAGTTTGGTATTCATGTAGCCCATTAGAATCTTGATGTCGTTAACTGGAGTATGGTCCAGTACTGATTACAGTTGTCTGTAGAATTCCTCCTTCTTCTTTCCATCTGCATTATTTGTAGGTGGATAGTGTAGTGTAGCGTAGCATTGTATGATTGTGACCTTCCTTCCTTTTGAGTTGAATCCATCTTGCTGTCATGATCCTAGAAGAGGAGACTGGTTCCCACTGCATGAGAGCCTTTAGATACCCTTGGGGACATCATGATAGCCACTCCAAAGCTCAGTGTGCTCGTGGCTGTCGTCTGAGTGACAATATCGGAGTAGATTGTTGACTCCTCTGCAGTTGACAGCTTGAAGGGTTCACTTCCATTTCGTCTACTTTTGTAGATTTCTAGCACTTTTATGTCATGTCTTCGCATCTCTTTTGCAATCTTGGCATCCTTACTGGGTTCAAACATCGTGCGAACATTCCATGTCCCCACGTTTACTTTTTCTTTCATCGAGAGAAGACATACCGGCCAATTGGCTTCCCGAAGGCTTTCACCAACCAGCGTCATTTCATCTCCTCGATTCCAGCGAGGAATAATTTTGTTTTTATTTTTATATTTTCTTTATTCTTCCAAGTTTGTTTAGCTATTGGATTTGTTTTGCGGGGTAGTGTTGCTAGCCCTTTGCCAAACCTTCCCTCTTTATCCGGGTTTAGGACCGGCTAGTGAACTAGTGAACTAGTTACCTTTGTGAGTCACAGTATCACAGTAAAATTTACTACTCAAATTCGTCCCAGTCAATATTTGAAGCATTTGTAGCACTGTATTTATTATCTATTCCAACAGCACTATAAGTAATGCACGCATTAACACACAACCACGCAATAGGTTGGAACAAAGCCACCACACCTAAGTCCAATATAATTAAGTGGAGAGAGAGATTGATTGCTGAATCTTTGTTCATCAAATCAGCACCTAACAAATGGAATAGAATGAAGCAACATCTATACCAGAGACATGGAAAATTTTACCACCAATAAAAACAAAGAATAAGAGGTGACAGGACTTTGAAAATCGACTACTGAAAGTGGTGTGATTACAATAGCATGATTATGAGCAATAATTTGCGCTTGAAACGTCATCAAGTAGATACTACTGTGATACTGTGTGATGTATATCAAAAAAAACAAATGAAATATGGGATTAATAATAATCTACCTACTATGGAAATTTCTTACATTGATCATATGTACTAATTTCGTTCTAATCAGACTTCAGAAAAATAGGTCAGCTTCAATGGCTGCTCAGAGTCAGCAAATCTATTTGACGGAATAATTTATCACTAAACTGGAACTAAACATTTCTAGTGAATATACTTAGAATTTCCCCGGGATTTCTTCAGCAAGGAAATGTAACCTGAACATTGGCTGATAATATCAACCATTCTATCCAGTAGGTGACTGATGGAAAGAAAAATTATTGTGGCAAAAGGAATGGGGGTTTAATTATTGATTGAGAGATTTTCTGACTGCGTGTATTTGGTCTATCTACCAGCTAGTCAATTTATGTAATTCCGACTGATTTTATACAAGTGTAACACATTAACTACCTAATTCATGTTCGCTGTACGTCCAACGTTTAATCATTTTTTTGTAATGGGTCAGCAAAATAAAGTATTCAAGAGAATTTACAATTTCTTTGAAAAAATGAAAAACTTCGAAGTATTAAACAAATCCATGGCATCCGTTAATAATTCATTCCCCTAATTGAAATGGTGGATTACAATTATTAGAGAGGAAATAAGACACTGTCATCCTTATCGTGAATTTAAAGGAACTATTGACGAAATGTACAATGAATGTGCTGTTCATCTTCAAAAGTAATTTGTATAGACAACTCGATAGCATAGCTATGAGATCTCCATTAAGCCCTATATTTGTAGACATATTTCTGGCAAAAACGGAAAATGATCTTTTAAAAGATCAAGTTATCAGTACAGATTTTGCTTATTTAGTCTACGAAGTAGTTCTATTCTGAATCACTTCAGCGGCGCTCATATATAGCAGTTTATTTTATTCATGAAAATGAAATCGATGATTCGATATATATTCTTGATGTGCTAATGACAAGAAAGAAAGATGGTTGTATACTGAGAAGTAGACAAAGAAAACCGAAGCCTAAGCTGCAGCTTACGCACTTACTTAGCTTTGTGTCTATACAGTACAAAGGTGATACAGTCGGCTGAATAACCTTTAGGGTAAAATTGATTGCTTGCAAAGAATGTAAGAAAAAAAGTTGGTTCGTCTCCACAATATTCTAAGGGGAAACGGATATCCTTGAAAGTTTATCCATTATAATCCCAACTACAGTGGTCCTAAATGAGAAATGATGACAGTGCTTCTGCAATCACAGTTCAAAAGCTACACTCCAAGTGACCCACTTTCTCATTGTTTAACTAGAACAATAGAAAGAACACTTTACTTAGGTCGCCTCTGCATATCTTTCAGTATTCGGTCAATGTCTAATCCGATAAGGAAGGATACTCTGTCTGTACTTTGCATCCCTTCCTACATGTATAAATGAAACTGCTCCTGAGGAACAAGTTGCATAAGATGTACGGTTATGCAAGTACTTCTTGAAATAGGATGGCACTTGCCGGCATGAATTGGAGAGGAGGAAGTCTACTTGGTAGAACGTTCTCTCTTATCACGCCTCGTAGACACACTGCAACAGATAGATGCTAACACAACTATAATTGTCATGCAGCGTGTTTCACAAACGCTAGGATATACTCCTCACCGAAACACTCAACACCACTGCAGTAATAAGATTGATAGAGCTGGAAGTGAGCATTCAGAACAAATATGTCCCGACATCACTCCTCCTTTGAACTTCACATATTCTTTGTTTTCTGTCTCATTTTCTTCTGTTTCTTTCTCTTACCATCACATTCTCCATACGTCATCTTAATACTGCAAAAATTTAGGAAGGAAACTTGACTTTTTTTTCTGAACAATTCCATTTTATAACCGTAGAAGCTGATGAGTATTTCTTAAAAAGAATATTCTTCCATCATATTGTCATTTAAGTGATGAAATAAAAATTTTAAACGTTCCAAATTCAAAATTCATTTTCATTTTTTGTATCTTTTGACTGTTTCAAAACCAGTATTCTGTCTTTATTCAAATCTTTAGAGTTTAGTGTGAATTAATTTTCAGACATCAACATCACTTTTCTCCTACAATCATTATTATGACACCAGAATCTCTAGCTTTTTTATCCCTCTTTAGGGACGCAGGTATTACGCACAAACGAACAGGATATTTCAGAACTTCCTCCATGGAATATTAGCTTGGCTAGAGAATATCTTAGCTGCTCCTCAGTTTTTTCCTCTTGATAACCCTTAGGATTCTATCTGGAGGTTTGTGGAGATTTATTAACTAATGATGAATTCCAAATTAAAACCAATTAATAAATCTCCACAAACCTCCAGATAGAATTGATATAGCGCTTATTGGTGACTAGTTTCAAGAGATGATTACCGAAGTTCCAATACAAAGACATGACTAGTGGAGTCAACCAAGTTGAACATGAGGACAGTTACTCAACGAAAACATTGGCTGTACGTTGCAGTATTTCGTGAACTGACAGAAGTGGAAAACATGAACCACTGGATTCGAACTCATTGATTCAACGGTAACGTACCTGCTGGAGAACCTAAAGGCCCTGAGTTCAGTCTCTGGTGGGGTCATAGGTGTGCACTGCTAAGGAGTCCCATACTAGGACGAAGCAGCTTTCCAGTGCTCCCAGGTTTCCAATTTTCCTCTAACTGATGTCAGTCGATCATAAATTCCAATCTCAGAACCCTAAGAATTGTTTACATTCCAAAATAAGTAAACGTAAAATTGTAGAAGAATGTATCGACCCTAAGCTGAGATGCCACTTGATTTTCATCTTTAAAATGGCCGCATTATTCACGGTAATGAAGTAACTCACACTACAACCAAGCACTCCCTTCTTCAATAAGAGTGGTAGGAGGAAGTCCCCAGTTTTTCCCTGTTTTATTGTCGAATATGATTACCATAATCTTCACAAAAAGCCCAAAATCACTGAAGCTTTCTGCAATCAGGCATGTTATACCGGCATTTCAATAGAAAGCACTTGAACCAACTTGTAGATATTAGACTGGTTGAAGCAACAACAATCAATAGGATATTCAAATCTATAAAGGCCTGGAAATAGCCAAAGCCATTGTAAATATATCTAAACCCTTGTATTTCATATACTTTTTTGACATTTTAATACAATTTCTGTTATCTGACAGCCTATTCCATTTATCGATAAAAGTGATTGACCACTAAGGGTGAAATCTGAAGGTTATTGTTCAAGCGTCTACACGAATATATATATATATATATATATATATATATATATATATATATATGTAATTCAGACTATGTCAAGTAGGCACTACGAGGATATAATAAGTCGAGACAAGGTTATAAAATTTACATAGCACACCTTATATTACAGGGAGAACAAGATAGATTATACTTTTAGTAGCAGTAGTGTATTAGTGCAAACAACATCAGGTTCTTGGAACTTGAAGTTCCATAGGAAGACATTAGGAAGTCAGCATACACATGTTGATCAGCGTAGTATCACCATTTGTACAAAAAGCCACAATTTGAATGGTAAATAGTCATCAAATATCAAAATCAAATGTGTGACATAAAGGAAATCTACCATATAAATTCATTTTGTATACCTTTGAAGAAAAATTCAGATAAAGCGTTTTTACTACTCATTAAGTAGTATTCATTTACTTACCAATCAAAAGTAATTGGATTTCTTTCTTACGATGTTCATATTCTTGTAAGAGAAATTTGTCAATTTTATGACTATGATATCTTGAACGTTTACGGTTAAATCCTTTGTTCATTTAAAAATAATGAAATGAAGATTCATGATTTATTTTGATAAAATATACTGACTACTTAATTACTTTAATTAAAAAGGTAACTTCTTCTTTACTCCTTTCTCAGTTATACTTCATTGACATGACTGTGCATTCGAACTCCTCTACATAATGTTTGTTAAATATCGGTAATCATCAGTATTTTCGTATATTTGTTGTTTCTCGTTTTCAGTGCATATCCATGGTGGATCTGTAGTACAATCAGTTAAGTGTTATTGTGAACTGGCGGTCATTATAACATCAAATCTAAAATATTACAAAGTATCAGTAGATAACAAATGGATTATCAGACTATAGATTTTGTTTGAATCTACAAAGTAGACTATAACAAGTATTCAATAAAACTTGGAAAGTGGTTAGCTACTATGCAAACAGTAAATATACACAATCCCATGAATACTCAGCCAGTGCACTCGTGCCTTAAGTCACAGGCTGCCTATTTGCTTCAGTAATACATGCACTCCCATAGACAATGAGTGGTGAGCAGAATCAGCTATCTGCAAATTTCAGACACAATGAGAGTTGCATCGCTTTTGTAATCAGAATTCATGAATTCTAGATTGCTTCAAAGGTCATAAAGTGATCAAGATTTCAAACAATACAAACTGTCACATTTCATGGCAGTTGATCTTTTCTACACAGACATCTCAGAAGGATGACAGGCTTCTTGGGACAGGGTTCACTATCTTGTTAGCTAACTACGGACTACAAATTACGTCCAAAACTTTAACCAGTAAATGATACTGTTTCACTGTGTGATATTTGTAATAAACAGACTAAAATGGAATTACGATCTACCAGTGTCCAAGTTTTACTCCTTTATTAATAAAACAGTGTTCCTGTTCGAAGACGAACTAAAAAATTCACACGACTTTCACAGATAGAAGTCAAATACACAAACCACCATACATTGAATATTCTATGTCTTAGAAATTAACCGATTTCTAAATATCTACGTCTACGTGTACCAGCTCAAACGGACAAAGTGAAAGCAGTTATAGGAGTCAAGAAACTCTGTCTTAAGGCAGGAATTCACAGAATAGTCAAAGCATTGCAGAGCGTCATGGTCTTTATTGAAGAACTTAAATGTGTACCGATACAAACAGCTAGCAAAAACGTCCATCTCCTCCTGACGAACGATCACAATAAAACAAGATCAGTTGCATTCAGGAAATCCAAAAATACGCAAATTAAAAAGTTCAACAAACTTGTAGAAAAAAAGTATGCAGTCAGCAACAATGAAATTAAGATTATCACATCAACAATGATCGGTAAGTTTAAGTTGGTTGTCGATCTCTCAACTCGAGTCTTAACCTCAGCAGGAGTGATGGTGCTAGAGAAAGGCCTTACCTTCAATGAAACCAAAAGATATCATTCCCAAAATATAAATAGCGTTAAGTTCCGGAGATAAGACAATTTCAGATGATGTAAGATCATAGTGTACCCTAGCACCAAAACAATATAGGAAAATGAAGCCTAATTAACCCAAACCAGAAGAAGCTCTTAGGAACATTCGAAATAATATCGCAATTATAAAATCAGATAAAGATTACTCAGAAGTTGTAGTGAACAAACCTGACTGCATCTGCAAAGCGAATGAATATAAGGAAACGGAACCATATGAAGAAATTACGGAACCAGTAGATACTATTATGAATAAAGTTAAGAAAATCACAGGGGATCTTTTACGCCGAATAAAGCCATTTCATTTTATTTGAATATGGACAATAAATAATATTGTTTCACTGTGTGACATTTCTAATAAAAATACCAGAATGGAATCATGTTTGATGAGTTTAATAAACACAAAAGTCTGTGCTTTATATGCATAACAGTATGAATGCATAAATTCAGGTTACTTCCTTTATAAGACTTCATGAAAACAAACACCAAAAGCGTTCCAAAAATTAATGTCTGTTGATAAAAGCTTCGGAGGAGAACAATAAGGAATATTTGCCATGAAAATGTTTCATAGTGGTTCTAGATATTAAATATCAGTCATTAGTACGCTGCTTGATAGAATTTCACTTGAGATAGAACAGCGAATTGTGTCTTCCAAGTTCAGTGAACTCATGTACCTCAGATACTCAGTCCTAAATCAGTCAGTCTGAGAACTCGTCATTAAGATATTCCGGCTATGCCATCCCCCTTTTGGACTGAATTGGCTACGAAAATCAGTTTTTGGATAATGACAATCCCCCTAGCGTTGAGTGTAGTGCCTCGAACAAAATTCCGTTGCCCTTGTAATGCTGGGTGACAATAATGTGATGCACAGTTTTCGTTGGTGGCGTTATATGCTATTAGTCACCTATGACGTTTTGTATATTAACTCATGACACCTAACACCACAATACAGTTCAACACAGCGTCACATCTCAGAACTACTATCCACATTCTAAAACTCGATCAGTAGACTGATAACAAAGCTGGGCAGTTGGAACTTGTCAGCTACACTCCTCACTGTTCAGCAAGTCAATTTATAGAGTCAATAGTATTTACAAAAATAAGCTGAAGACAAACTAACACTTCGGTTTTCACTGATGTTAAACAGCCATCTATATTGCTTTGGTATTCAAAATCGTATAATCAGATAGGTCACCTGAAGCTATATGCTAATTCTTGACTTCAGTTTTTAAATATAACATAAGATACTTTTCATACTACTAACTACTTTGTCACTAGCAAACATTTCATCAAAATCACTAGTACAGCTGACGAAAGTGAAAACATAATCATACACACTTTGATTCTTCTAAGCGTGTATTCCATGGACTTATGTCATCTGAAGAACACCACAGAATCCTAGCACGTGTAACATTTGATAGTTGGTTTCAGGCAGTCAGCATACAGCCCTGCTCAATCTATGTTTAATGCTTATCAGAACTCGTCAGAAGGGCAAGTCAGTAGACTCAGTGGGTCTGATGTCCCTTATGAGGTTTGAACCTGAGTCACCCAGTGCTTTAGTCAACCTCAGCCTCTTCTACGGTTGAAATTTTAAATGTAACTGGCAGTTTCCAGTCGAATGGACACCGAATTCAGGTTCACGTAAATTAACAACTTTTCGTTCTAATTAATCCGCATGAGAGACTAAGGACTTATTCTTCTTGTAAAAGGTAATAGTTTCGCATTTCCTATAACCCTTTAGACCATCCCACTTCACGGTAACACCTGCCTTCAGACTTAAACACCAACCACAGTTTTGCAACTTTCTGGGGAGCCTGTCGGGAAGTGTTGGCGAAAGCCGACAATCAGACTTTACCGTTTTACAGTGATTTACTTAAAAATATTTCATAACTTAACTTATAATGCTGAGGTTACTTCGAATGAATATTTACAACTTCAAGTTTCATGAAGGCAACTCAAGAATAAACTATCCACGCAATCCTGCAACCTTGTATTCATGTGATAAGTTTGTAGTTTCAAGGTAGCGTCCATCACAAACGTACATTAGTTGGCGAATCATTGAAAGCCTAAGAGTGCTGAACATCCGTTTCCTTCTTTAAGTGGACTGTTTAACAGTACTCCTTCAAGATCCCATTAGTGATGGAATTCAGGGTCTTCAGGTCTCGTGACGAACTTGTTAACCATTCAGCAAATGGATTAGAGTTCAATGGTCCTCAGTTTTTTTGCTTCTGTCGATTTGTGGTAATGTGCGAGCAACCTTCACTGTCTTTAGCTGGCATCCACCTAACTTCCTGCTAGTTGACACACTGGTAACAGCTTCTGGTTAGTACTTCAAGGTATCCATCTCGAAGTATGTCACCAATGAGCACTAAGTGCAGTAATTTAGTTTCAGGCCTATCTGGATTTTATTTGTTTCAAGATAGTATTTATCACGGATTGAAATCATTCGCAGAACCATTAAAAAGCTTCTGAGATGTCCCATACTAGGACGAAGCAGCTATCCAGTACCATAGCAGTAGTAATAGTGAGAAACTTTTATGATTGATAACGAATATTGTGCAGTTCCACTAATCACTGTTGGTTTATTCAAACCGCTTAAAGTACATTCTACAAAACATAAACCTGTACTATGTCCAGTGCTTTTTATGGGATTTTTGAGAAGCCTTTCATCCATCCCAATTTCAGAATCAAGTTAAGTGCGGTATCTTTTTGCTTACTTAAACGGAGAGATTTAAGCTTAGCGCATCAAAACATTTGGTGATTTTCATTTGTATATTCATCCTTTGGACTTCTTGTTATTTTCTTTCTGGATGAATGATAATTCTGATTTAGCCAACTGAAGACAGGAACGAAGATAAATTGATCGTTATGATGCAGTTATCTAGATAAGTTGTATATTCTTTCAAGAGGAAAAAACTCATGTATTAAATATGAATGATATTCATTGAATCTCATCTGAATGTGCAGTCGATTACTTCACTATGAACATAATTACCAGTATGGTTAGTTATTTTACACGGTGTTGATTGACACCTTCTTTAGGCTGATTTCCACAAGAGATCAATTGAAATAAGACCATCTTAATGTAAACATGAAGAAAATGATGATTACATTTAAAGAAACCATTTGTCAGTCCAAACCACATGGAACTGTAGTTCATTGTTTACCCACTTGACTTTCAACTCATGTACCATGGATTCGATTCCCGCTCCACCTCTACCGCAGTCTCGATAGCCAGATATCATCATTAGCTCTCACATAATAGGTATAGGTTCACTGTCAACTGTCAACTGCACGCGATCACTGAATACATTTCCATCATATTTGAGTTCCAACCAACTATTCTCAAACATTCAGTAAAACTTACCAACTCATGGTGTACGTGAAGAAGTACACCTTGAAGAAGGATGGTTTTGATTATGCTCCATTCATCGATGAAACTATTTATAGTATTCACTGAAATATGTGAAGTACCAATATACTCAATGGTATATTACGTTTTCACCAATCCAGGATAGGAAGTTTTTGATATCTGATGTCTTTTGTAGTATTGTCTTCTG